TCTTCCGTTCTGCTCTTTTGTCATTACTTCCATTCACTTTAGCTTTTCTGCATTCAAAAGCAAGTTCAGAGTTTCTTCTTTTCTTCTGACATCCACTTTGGTCTTTTCTTGCTTTCTCGTCTTTTAAAGGGAGCTCTAAAAACAAAACAAAAGGAACTCTGGTTGCACTGTGGTTAATGCATCAAGCTGCTAACCAAAAGGTCACTGGTTTGAACCCACCAGCTGCTCCCTAGGAGAAAGATGTGGCAGTCTGCTTCCATAAAGATTTACAGCCTTGGAAACCCTATGGAGCAGTTCTACTCTGTCCAATAGGGTGGCTGTGCATTGGAATTGACACAATGACAGTGGGTGGTGTTTTTTTAATGAATAATCTTGCTTTCTTTATGTATGATGTCCTTTATGTCATCCCACAACTTGTCTGGTCTTCAGTCATTAGTGTTCAATGTGTCAAATCTGTTCTTGAGATGGTCCTTAAATTCAGGTGAAATAGATTCAAGGTTGTACTTTGGCCTCATGGACTTGTTTTAATTTTCTTCAGCTTCAACGTGAACTTGTGTATGAGCAACTGATGGTCTGTTCCACAGTCAGCCCCTGGCCTTGCCCCGACTGATGGTACTTACCTTCTCCATCATCTCTTTCCATATAAGTTGTTTATCTGACTCCTGTGCATTCCATCCAGTGAGATCCATGTGTATAGTCACCATTTATGTTGTTGAAAAAAGCATTTGCAATAATAGAGCATTGGTCTTGCAAAATTCTATCATGCCATCTCTGGTATCATTTCAATCACCAAGGCCCTATTTTCCAACTATCGATGTTTCTTGTTCCAACTTTCCCATTCCAATCACTAATAATTATCAATACCTCTTGATTGAATGTTTGAGCAATTTCAGATCGCAAAAGTTAGTAAAAATCTTCAATTTCTTCATCTTCGCATTAGTGGTTATGTGTCAACGTGAGCAATAGTCACATTAACTGGTCTTCCTTGAAGGTGTGTGGATATCATCCTATCACCAACAAAGCTGTATTTCAAGATAGATCTTGAAATATTCTTTTTGACAATAAATGTGACACCATTCCTCCTCAATGTGTCATGCCCAGCATAATAGACCATATGTTTGTCCAATTCAAATTGGCCAATACTGGTCCATTTCAGCTCACTAATGCCTAGGATATTGATCTTTATGCATCCCATTTCACCTTTGATGACTTTAATGTCTCTAGATCCATAATTTGTATGTTACACATTAATATTATTAATGGATGTTTACAGCTGTTTCTTCTCATTGTGAGTCCTGCCACATTAGTAGATGCAGGTCCCAAAAGTTTTACTCCAGTCACGTCACTGAGGTCGCCTCGACTCTGAG